CCCTTCTGCCTCCGGCTGCCAAGGGAGCGAGCTGCGGCGGGAGGGGGGGAGGCGGACGACGAGCAGCACCGAGCGCGGCGGCGGCGGCACGACCAGCCGCCCCAGCAAGGACTGGCCCCGTCGAGCCGTCTCCGAGCCGAGAGGGCCGAGAGGGGTCCCCGCTCGGACGGCAGGGGTGCCGCAGGTGGCGGTGCACCGAGGGGGCGGCTGGAGTGGGATTCCGGCTGCTCCTGCCGTGTCCCCCAAAGGTTCGGGCGGCTTGAAAGACTGTCGATCCGGAGAGGGAAGCCCCCAGCTCAAGCGCGCCGGTAACGCTTCCCTTTCCGATTGGCCCTCTGCCTGCTAACTCCAGATCTCCCGGAGGCGGGGCTGCGGGGTGGGGTGGGGTGTGGACAGACGGATCCCCTGAACGCCCCACCGCCCCAAAGACCCCGAGCGAGAATCTCCCCCACTTCTTGAGAAGGGTCTGGTGGGCACCTACCTGACGAAGATATGACACCTGGCGGGGACGCGCCCTGAGCCACGCCAGTTCTGGACCACTACCTCCCTCCGGAGGGAATCCGAAGCTACTCCGGATTCACACGAGAAGGGCGGGGGGGGGCGCCCCACGAAGGGATTGGCTGAGAGACAAGAAAGGCGGAGTGGGGAGGAGAGAGAGAGAGAGAGGGATCCACAAACATCAGCGTCCTGGCAAGAGATCTACCAGATTCAAGAGCTGTGACGCTTGGGCTCGGAAGCTGTGAAGCCCGCCAGATCTCTCTCCACCGGGCACAGCGCGTCCAGCCAGACGACTGTCGGGGGAGGGCGTAATCTCCTCCTCCTCCTCCCGCAACCAGAACCCACTGGATCCCAAAGCTTCCGGGGAGCTCAAGACCTAGCGCAAGGGAAGCCGGGGAGTTGGCCCTCGTCGGAGACTTGCACCCTACAGGTCGCTCGGCTTTCCGATGCGCTCGGACTGCTGGCCCTTCGGGCTACAAGACTGGACAGAGGCCGCTCCCGGACTCCAGCGGCGTCCTTTGGGGATCCCCGCGCGGGGCCAGGGGGTCCTGAATCGGGCACCCAGCTCAAGGCCGTCCAGGAGCCACACGCGCCCCTCCCCTGACAGCACCTCCCTGGGATCGGGAAGAGAAGCACGAGATTCCACTGATCGCCACCGTCCTTCCTCAGCCGTCCTCGGGATCCCGGAGAGCGCCCGGATCCTTCCACGCCCCACTGTCAGCACAGAGGGAGCCTTTTGAGGTCCTTCCCTTGATTGTCGCTGTGACAGCTCAGAGGGACTGACCGACCAGCACGCGTCTCCTCCTCCTCCTCCTCCAACCTCCCAGCACAGCCTGAGCTTGGGGGGTACCCTGGCTGTTCCGGCGCCCTCCAGTTGTGGGGCAGCCTCGGGGCCCCAGACAGAGGGGTGACTCCGTCCAGAGATGCCCTGCGCAGTTTGGGGCCTCCTCTTGGTACTCCTTCGAGGATCGCGGGCTCTGCAGAGGGCAGGTGAGTGAATCCAAGGAACAGGAGTGTGTGTGTGTGTGTGTGTGTGTGTGTGTGTGTGTGTGTGTGTGTATGCCTCCTTTATTGTGTGGAATTCCCCCTTTCCAATACTTAATTACATTCATGCCTCCCCTTCCTGTCAGTGACTACTGACTACCAGTACATGGCTTGCCCTCCTTCCCATTTTTTCCTCACTGACACCCTGCAAGGTAGGCCAGGCAGAAGGAGAAAGAGGGGGTGGGGATGGACCAAGGCTACACAATGGAGGTGTCCACCCTCCTTTATTGTGTGGAATTCCCCCTTTCCAATACTTAATTACATTCATGCCTCCCCTTCCTGTCAGTGACTACTGACTACCAGTACATGGCTTGCCCTCCTTCCCATTTTTTCCTCACTGACACCCTGCAAGGTAGGCCAGGCAGAAGGAGAAAGAGGGGGTGGGGATGGACCAAGGCTACACAATGGAGGTGTCCACCACATGCTGTTGTGTGGTACAGATCCCTCGGCAGGAAGAAGGCAGTAAGGTTTGGGGTGACATGGAAGGGATGTAGGGTGTGAATACCTCCTGCAGCCCAGGTGTGGGGAGGGAGCCTCATGAAGCCTAAAAAGAGGCAACAAGAGGGAAGAGTTGGTCCCTTCCACCTATTGAGCCACTTTCTCATCAGGCACTTCTTTTCTCAACCTTGGCTTGGCAGGCCCCCCCCCCCGTCCCCCTCCTTCCCCCCCTTCCTTCCCTTCATGCCACTGCTTGGCCTGACAAGCCCCCAGCCTCAATATATATATTCAACTACCACACTTATGCGGCCACCTGTCCCCAGCCTGATGGCAGACAGATGGAGCCCAGCTAATTTCACACACAGTTCTTCTTAGACAGCTGCAGAACCCAAGCAGCAGACCCTGGAGGGGCTGAAGGATGGAGGAGAGAAAGAGAGAGTGAATTGCTTGGGAAAGGTGCCTGTTTGGACTACAGTTCCCATAACCCCCTAGCATGGCCATAACACATTTGGGGGGGGGAGAAATCTGGTGGCAGGAGATTCTGGGAGTAGTTGTATAAAAATGAACTTTTTCTGGCTCAGAAGGAGAATGAAAAGGAGAGAGATGGGTTCAACTTCCCCCCACCATGCATGCACAGAAATCAGTTTCCCCCACAACTTTTCCTAGCCCAGACAGCATCTTGTCTCCCCAGACATGCTTGGCTGCTTTCCAAGAGACCTGTCAGATGGGAATCCCAAGTGCCAGGAACTGGCTCTACAGGGTTGGGCTGGGTTAAAATCAGGGAGAGAGGTTGCAGGCTGCAAAGCTGCTGTTGCTGATGCAGTGGAGGGACGCCTCTCCCACCCCCACCCCATAGCAAGAGATGCTCTCGCACAATGAGACCTTCCCACCCTGCATCCCAAATTGAATTTTTTTTCTTAGATATTTATCAGCTTGACAATTTAGGCCAAGCTTTATGCCAATGGGAAAGGAGGAGTAGAGTCACCTCTCAACAAATGTGACTTTTTTTTCGTTGGCATCAGAAAAGAGCGTCAGGATGCTTGTGTGTGTGTGTGTGTGTGTTTGTGTGTGTGTGTGTGTGTGTGTGTGTGTGTGTGTTTAGAAACTTGGTAGGTTAGAAGCTTGATGAGTCAGAATAATGATAAAGATCATAATAATGTGCTAGTGTTATTTATATTTTATTAGTGTTATTACTTTTTATCACCATCATCAGGCCATCAGTGTACATAGAACTATACAAAGAATGGGAAGAAAGATCCCTGCCCCAAGGGGGTTGCAGTTTAAAAACAGGCACAAAAGGAACGCGAGGGGGAAAAAAGAGGAAAGAATGAGATGTGGGCAAACCATCATTTCAGAGATGTGTACATAAAGCTTCATCAAAGCAAGGGTAGCTGTTCCCTCCCTGTAGATGTGTTGAGCTACAAATCTGATCATCCCCAGATATCAGAGAATGTGTTTTGCCTGCGTAGGGTCCCAGGTCCAGTTGCTGGCATCTCCAGTAAGAAAGGATCTGGTTGCCAGGTCTTGGAAAAGACTTCTTCCTAAGACCTCGGAGCGACCTGTTGGACACTGCAGAGTGAGATAGGCTAGTGGACCCCGTCGCTGTTCAAAGCAGTTTTGTGTGCTCCGAAGCCAGCCAACCTGGATACATTCTGGGCCGAGGACCAAGTTGCAAATACTGTCCAGGTATCCAGCAGGAATCCGTCCATATTCCAAGCCCTCCTTTCATCCTTTCTCCTGGGAACAGAGAAAGGCGTCTGGCTACTTTCCCAGGCCAGCAGGGACCAAAGATCCTGGGGATGGGCTGTGGATTTGCTGAGATCATGGCTCCTTCGACTGCCAAATTCCTCACACACACTCTCCCCCCCCACTCACACACACCCTCTCCGGTGCCTTTAAAATACGACTTTTCGAACTCGCCTCCACTTCTGTATTGTGCCCCCATAGATCACTAGTTGGATGAAAGAATGTGAGGGAGACCTTTGTGTAAAAGCTCTCATGATGAAGGGAAGAAGAAAGAGCAGGAAGAAGGGAAAGAGGAGGAGCGAAAGAGAGCAAGAAATCTCCACCTGTCATTGGCTTGGGGTCTACGTACTACTTATTCCTTTTTCATAGGAAATAAGTTCCCTACTCCTAGGTTAGAAAGTTAGGTGAATGAAGTGGTGGAGGAGAGAGTTGGGTTGAGGGTCTGAATCTCTCTTTCTTTGTATCGCTTATTACCTACCCTGCAGGGTTGTTATGAGGATAAAAGGGAATATAGGGCAATGTCCATTTCTTTGTTTTTGAAAAGGTAGCTATGCTGGTCTGTGCAAACATATCAGGCAAAATCCAAAGAAACAAAACAAAATTAAAAAAAAAAGACAAAAACATGTGGCGCTTTAAAAGACTAATCATTATACGTATTTCAAGATGAGCTGCTCACATTAAAATATAACGGTTAGTCTTTAAGGCACTGCATGTTTTTGTCTTGTTTCATTTTTGTACATTTCCTTCAGTTCTGTGGAAGGAGAATGGAATAAAATACTGTCATCTGGTCAAGAGAGGATCCCTTTCCAAGGGGCATTCGGTCCATGTGGAACCAAAGGGAGAAGGAAGGCCGAACTTGCTACTCTCTTCTCCAGTCTAATCCCTGCTGGCACTTCCCTCCCCCCCAAAAGGGAAGCCTTTTGCAGTTTAGGGATTGTTGCCTTAAGAAGCCACATGACAAGCAGATATTCAGCAGGTGAAGCTGGCTTAGCTGGCATGCAGCTGGATGGAGAAAGATTCAACTGTTGAACTCTTGTTTGTGTGTGTGGTGGTGGTTGTTAGGAGCCATCAAAGGAAGCCAGATTTTGGTTGAATATCAGGAAAAACTTCCTAACTGTTAGAGCAGTACGACAGTGGAACCAGTTACCTCAGGAGTTGGTGAGTGCACCAACACTGGAGGCACTCAAGAAAAAACTTGGATAATTACCTGGCAGATATGCTTTGATTGTATTCCTGCATTCAGCAGGGGGTTGGATTTGATGGCCTTGTAGGCCCCTTCCAATTCCACTTTTCTATGATTCCAAGTCCCCTCCAACTTATGGTGATCCTATGAATAAGCAATCTTCAAAGTATCCAGTCCTCTACTGTCCTGCTCAACTCTTGTAAACTCAAGCCTGTGGTTTCCATTAGGGAGTCATTCTAACTTGTATTTGGTCTTCCTCTTTTCCTGCTGCCTTCCACCTTTTTGGTAGGAAATGTCCACTCCCATGCTATTTTTCCATGTTTGGGACATTGATGAGAGCAGGCCAGCTGCAATGCTCCAGATTGCCATAAGAGGGCGCTGTGGTGACAGAGGCAGTTAAGCTGCTTCATTCCTTCTCTGTTTAGAGTATTTTGTTATAAGCAGAGGCTGGCACGTTGGTAGAGAAGGGTTAACATTTTTAATTTGTTTTAATTTTCCCTATATTTCATATTAATCCATAATTTTAAATTGTGCAATGCTCTGATATGAGTAAAGAAGAAAAGCCCAAAATCAGTTAAATTTAATTTAGAGGCGGCAAATCTGACCGCAGAGCAATTGATGCTTTTGAATTGTGGTGCTGGAGGAGACTCTTGAGAGTCCCCTGGACTGCAAGGAGAACAACCCTATCCATTCTAAAGGAAATCAACCCTGAGTGCTCACTGGAAGGACAGATCCTGAAGCTGAGGCTCCAATACTTTGGCCATCTCATGAGAAGAGAAGACTCCCTGGAAAAGACCCTGATGTTGGGAAAGTGTGAAGGCAAGAGGAGAAGGGGACAACAGAGGACAAGATGGTTGGACAGTGTCATCCAAGCTACCAACATGAATTTGACTCAACTCTGGGAGGCAGTGGAAGATAGGAGGGCCTGGCATGCTCTGGTCCATGGGGTCACAAAGGGTCAGACACGACTTAATGACTAAACAACAACAAAGCTGATACTAAATTGATATTTAAGTAAGGTGAGTACAGTGAAGCCTTATCAGGAAAAGGAAAAAGGGAAAAAAGAAAAATCCAATCTAATATTTTTATTCCGTCACCTCATTACGTTTTTGAGCTTGAGAGAGAAAGAAACTGCTGCTCATTTCCCAGTCACCTCACTAAACCCCTTCTTTGGCTTTCCCGCTCCCATTTAAATTCCAACTAATTTATTAGTTAATGCATAATTTAGTTTTAATTTATAGTGAATTCTTCTTTCATTAATCAGAAAACCCACTCAGTTGGCTAATTTCGTTTATTTCTATTACTGCTGAGCTCTGGTTATAAGAAAGGTTTGTAAGTTCTCCCTCTCCTGCAAGGACAGTTTTCATCAGGTTTTGTATGACTGTAAATAGGTTATTCTTCTATAAGCAAAAACCTGAAAGTTTGTGTGTGCTTACACTGAGATGAAGAACTTCTGGACCTACAGATGTTGTTGGACTCCAACTCCCATCATCCATAGGTGGCAGGACCAAAGGAAACATAGTCCAACAATACTTGAAGGATCATGGCTTTCCAACTTCTGGTTTATTTGTTAATTAAT